TCATTATTTGCATGCTGTCCTTTTTTTTACAGTAAGGTTCACCCTATATTAAGGCACGGGAGCGACTCAAGGTAGTGGGTTACGTTACGGAGTAGATTATATGGATCTAGACATGATCAGGTTAAGATTGTAGTGATCGGGGAAACGCCCTCTTGGAAGACTGTTCCATAGAGAAGAAGCTGTTGGAATCCCGAGGGTTTGTTGTCCGTGGCATGGCGGGTCCTAGCCCTGAATGTCAGGCCTGGTGGAACCAGGGGACGCATTTCGACCGACCATTTTCCATGGTAGTCAGTCAGTTATGTGCCATGCGTGATACACGCTTAGAAGATCATGTATCTTTCGAGGCAGATTTTTCCCGGTTGCCATTTCTTTCTGCGGTAGATCAGTTGCCATATAGAAACCGGATGTCCTACTATTTACCCATAGCTTGGGGGAGAAGAAGAGGATTCATACCTTTCCCAAAGGTATCAGCATGTTCCTCCATGGTAGTAGAGATTATATTTTGCTGTTATTACAGTATTTCGGCCACTGGGACCTCCACCCTTCATGTCCTTACAAGAGCCCGATCAGGCCGGTGTACTGTCATCATATTTGGGTGGGAGCTGTCCAGTCCCCTCTTTCCAGTCTCGATAGAGCTCAAAAGTCTCTTCGACTTCTTGTGGGTGGCGAATTGTTTTCCACCCTTCAATCTCTATCTCATTAGCGGAATGTGAAAAGCCTCTCACTGCTCTATCCATAAATCCACGGAAAGTGCTCAGACGAACTATATTCCGTGGTTCCACCAGCTCTAACCTTCCCGGCTAGGGCCCTCCACGCCACTTATATATTAGCAAACCACCCACATTCCCTCCGTATTAAATCGTTGAGAAGTAAGTTCCATTTGAACAGCATCTCGTGAACTCCTACTATGTGGAACTGACTTTCAAAAGAGCATTGCCGGCATTAAAATCTATTTTTATATTTTCATAGTCTTCTGATCCCTCTTGGGGTGGGAGTAACCCTGACAGGTATCACCACCCTGGGTCAGGGCGGACCTGGGAACACCACCAACCAAGAGGTGGTTACATGATCATCAAAATCTCTTGTTGAAAGGCCTTGCTGCCGGACGAAGTTCATCGTCTTACCTAGGACGCGGATGTAGTTTATCTTTATACCCAGGACGTCAAAGAAATAGAGAAGAAGAAAAAGAAATTAAAGCAAAGTTATGGGACCTTAGCCATAATAACATAATGAACTATTCCATACGTAATAAATACTGCGCCTCAAGCGGAAGCAGGGAGTTCCGTCTGAAGTCTGGAGTGAAGTCCGTCAGGAGTCTGTCAGTCAGTCAGAGCGAGTCAGTCAGTCGAGTCAGAGGCAGTCCTAAACAGAGTCGCGTTCAGACAATTACTACTAAACCTGATTGTTCGTACTAACACTTTCTACTTCTCTATATATATCCCTGTTTGTAATATATCTGTGTTATTCCATATCCGACTTCGAGTTCTTCTTTATTGGTTCTACCTTGGACTATCACCGTAGTTCAAGGAACCGGACCATAACAAAAAGAAAAAGTAAAAGCTTTCATGGAGGAAAAGAAAGGCGAAGAGTACTCTTTAGATGAGGATATTAGCTGTATCTTTGAAAGAATAACTATGAAACCATTTGATCATTTTCTTGCGTGAAGAAAGAAAGAAAGAAATATAGAAGCGTAAGATTTGACAGACGATATTTAAGGAAGAAAGACAGAAAAGAAAAGTATCTTAGTAAAAATAATATGGAACGGAATTAGGAAAAATGAAATACGGGAAAGAAACGAAGGAAGGATATTAATAAAAAAAAATATAAGAAAAATAGAAACAGTAAAGGAAAAAAAAACTAGGAAGGAAAAAGGAAATATTAACACGAGGAAATAGGAAATTTAATCGGCCATTTTTCTTTTTTATCACGTATTGACACAAATCTATCTTGTCCGATTTTTTTTCGCTCTTTGTGATCTTTAATGGCGTTTTCACAAAGCTTTGTACTTTAAAAAGTGGAGGAAAAATCTCGCAACACGTATTTGAAAAGAAACCAATAAAGGAAATTACCAAAAATTAGAGAACCATTTATTAAAATTAGAGGAGAACAGCACACGAACTCTTAGTTTTTTTTTATTTTTATCGTTATTATAGTTTACGTTATATTTTATTTCTGACAAAGGGCAATAAGTTTTCTGTTGCTGCTAATTCTTCTTTCTTACAGCGACGTAATTCTCTTCCCCTCTTTTCTTCTCATTCTTCACATATTTTTTCTTTTTCACACCCCGCATCTAATCTTTCCCGCGTTGCATCTTATTTTTCGCGTTTTTCTCCTCGTCCACCTCGTTTCACCTTTTCCATATCCACATCAATTTTTTTCTTCTACGTCATCAGATTTTTTTAAGTCGTTACGTTTTCTTATCAGAAAAGAGCAGCTTTCGTTTCCCTTTTGTGATACGACATCTCTTTTTTTTCTTTTTAATTTATGCTTTCTTTTATAAGAAAATTGTCGTTTTTTATGTGACAACGATTTTCTATCGATCATTTGGCTTTAAAACCGTATTTTTCTTTTTTGAAATACATTTATCCGTTGACAGTGATTGCCTGAATTTTCCATCGATTACCGTCGTGTCTTTTTTGTTTGCATTGGCAACCGTCTTTTTCTCCTCCATATTGAAACCGTCTTTTTCTTCTCCATATTGACAACCATCTTTTTCTTCTCCATATTGACAACTGTCTTTTTCTTCTTCTCCACATTGACAAACGACTTTTTCCTCTCCACATTGACAACCGTCTTTTTCTTCTCCATATTGACAATCTTTTTCATCTCCATATTGACAACTGTCTTTTTCTTCTTCTCCACATTGACAAACGACTTTTTCTTCACATTGACAACCGTCTTTTTCTTCTTCGTCTCCACATTGACAACCGTCTTTTTCTTCTCCATATTGACAATCATCTTTTTCATCTCCATATTGACAACTGTCTTTTTCTTCTTCTCCACATTGACAAACGACTTTTTCTTCTCCACATTGACAACCGTCTTTTTCTACTTCGTCTCCACATTGGCAACCGTCTTTTTCTTCTCCATATTGACAATCATCTTTTTCATCTCCATATTGACAACTGTCTTTTTCTTCTTCTCCACATTGACAAACGACTTTTTCTTCTCCACATTGACAACCGTCTTTTTCTTCTTCTCCACATTGACAACTGTCTTTTTCTTCTTCGTCTCCACATTGACAACCGACTTTTTCTTCATTTTCTCCACATTGACAACCGTCTTTTTCTTCTTTTTCTCCACAGTAACAACCGACTTTTTTCTTCTCCCTATTGACGACTGTCTTCTTCTTCTCCACATTGACAACCGCCTTTTTCTTCTCCACCTTGAGAACCGCCTTTTTCTTATTATTCTGCTCCTGATTGACAAACTTTTTTTTCCTTTTACTCCACACTGATAAACTACTTTTTTTTCTTCTTTTCTCCACATTGACAACCGTCTTTTTCTTCTCCATATTGACAACCATCTTTTTCTTTTTCGTCTCCACATTGACAACCGTCTTTTTCCTCACTCACTGAATTTAATCTGGTATTCTTTTTTTTTTTTTTTTTGTTCTTTTTTTTCTTCTCTCGATCTACTTATTTTATTCTCTTTCTTCAAACACTTTTTCTACCAGTAATGGTGTTTCCTTTTTACAGTGATTCTTTTTTTTTTCTCCATTTTTTCTTCCCGTAAAAAATATTTTTTTTTTTACTGTCCATTACACAGAAGCAAGTTATCTTTATGCTACTTGCAAGAATAATGGTCGGAAATGTATTTGTCACGATTTAATTCTCTTGAGATTCTATTATCTTTACATTACAAAGTCCAAATACACAGAACATTTGATGTTACTTTTTCCTAAAATAGCTTTTGTTTTAATGCTTAACATCTCGATTACCTCCCTTTTCAACATTAAATGATATTGGAATCTTTAAAAACGAAAAAGGAAATACATAAAGAACATATTTTATCCATTTTTTCCTTCTTTATTTTTTTATGTTTTATCTTTTTTTTTTCTATATTTTTTCATATATAATTTAGATAACACATAATTACGAGGATTACAGTTCGACTAATACATTAAATAAACCAGTTCAAACTATTTGCCTCTAACAAATTTAAATACCGTTATTAAAACTGTACAGATTTCTCTTACATAGCAAAGTATATGAAATAACAAAATATGAATACAATATGGGAACCAGTAATAAGGAGTGCCAGAGAAAAGCAATAATAACAACAAAAGTTGCAATATGAGCTCTTGTAAAAACATGCAATGCTAACAGTAAAAATTGCAATATGAGCACTGGTAAAAATATTTGGTGAGACATTAGATTTATGATACCCAGAAATTTATAGACAAGGACACATGACACAGTGGATAAAGGCGTTGGTTAGATCCAGTGACGAGACCCAAAGCGTGTGAGTTCAATACCTGGTTAAGGCAGAAATTTCAGAAGGGGAAACAGGAGATAACTAACATCCATTAAATATGGCACGTGAAACTAGAAAAGTCTAACCCAGTGAGCAAAATAAAGGGTTCAGTTCGGCATTCAAACCACCTGAAGAACGGCCGAAACGTTGTAATAAATATGGTGACAATGATGAAGACAATAGTCCGAATAATGTAAATAGTGTACATAATACCTCATCTCATAAATATAGACGAGGTATTATGTACACTATTTACATTATTCGGATTATTGTCCTCATCTTTGCCGCCATATTTATTACAACGTTTCAACCTATATCTCAGATGATCTGTCTATATTTCTGAGATTAGATATTATGTACACTATTTACATTATTCGGATTATTGTCCTCATCTTTGTCGCCATATTTATTACAACGTTTCGACCCTTCAGTATCTATCTACGAAAACACCAAGAAGCATCACTTGACAGGACATACACAAGGATGTTACGAGTTCCACTGGGCATCAGCTGGAAGAAACACCCAACAACAAAAAAAAGAAACAAAAAAAAACGCCTGTATGGACACCTTCCTCTTATCTCAGCTTCGCTAAGAGTGCGAGAGAAGGCTTCGGATAGCTGGTCACTCCAGGAGAAGTAAGTCGGGACATGTGAGTGACATCTTCTTATGGAACCTATTGCGCGGCAAAAGAACAGTTGGAAGACCACATCTCCATTGACCAACTTGTAGATGACTATGGATGCCATGTGGAGGACCTGCCGACGGAGATGTCTGGCAGAGATGGTCGGAAAGAACGAGTAAGAAAAATCCGAGAAGATAATTCAGATATAACTTTTATCACTTTTTAATTTTTATCTTTTGGAATTTTGGGACTTATTTTTTGTGAGGATTCGATTTAAAGATTTCAGTGAAACATCTTTGCGAGTAAATAACATACACTGCCATGAACTCGACCCTATATATACTAGTCGCAAAATGTCATTGAATGAAAAAGGATGAAGTGTCAGCAGCCGATATTAGAACAATAAAAAAAAAATCCCAGCAAAGATATGAACATGAACCTAAACACCAAAAGGAATCCGAGGAACACGTAGTGAATGCGAGAAAAGAAAGTAAAGAAAGGCACATAGCGTTGAGAGTGTTAGCTATACTTGTACACGCGTTTTCACATAGATCCGAACACAAGTAATACTGGCAAACAGTTATTACTGCGATAAAATAAAAAACTAAATAATGAAGCGTATCATGCCAGAAAGCAAATATTTTCTATTATTATTTACAAAACCTTCATTGTCGGCTACATTTACAAAAAGGTCAAGCCTCTTTTGAACAAAGCTTATGGCTTCTTTACAAATTAAAAATATATATATATAAGTAGAAAAAAATCACGCCTTTTTAACCCTGGGGCGTTATTCTGGCGAATGATTCCGAAGGTGCTAATACGCATGCGCACAGATCAGAGCTAAGAAACCAAAACCGACATGAAAACTGCTTTATGTACATTTACGCATGTGTATACTCGGATTGTTTTCTCAAGGGGCTAGAACGCAAAAACTACGACCATGTTCGATTTGTCATTAATAATAATAATAATAATAATGACTGCAATGTATCTTTGAAGATCTTCAAAAAGCTGTCAAAATACAATGACCTTGAAATAGAAATCTCGAAAATGTGGCATATGGGAACATCAACAATCCCTGTTGTAGTTGGAGCCCTAGGACTGGTTGGAAAATATTGCAGTAGACTAATTGAAAGGATTCCTGGAAGTCCATGCCTCAAGGAGATACAAAAAATTGTTCTGACAAGTACAGCCGACACTTTACTTATCTATGTAATTTTTTTTTTTTTTTTTGTCAGTGGAAAGTGTCATGACGCCATTTCTAACCTTAGGTCCCTGGGCGGGACACGGAAAGAAATGTGTAAACGCCAGAAATCAAAGAAAATAATAATAATAATAATAATAATAATAATAATACTATCAGCCTGGGGGAGACGATCCTTGCATGCGGGTCCAGTTGCGAAGTAGCTGAAAACCATGTTGTGGGTTGATCCAAGCCATACTGAAATTGGGTAGACGGAAATATTCGGGAGCGGCCAGTAGTTGTGCGAGCACGTAGTTACGAGTCATTGTGACCGAGGGTTTTTTCGTATTTATACGCTCTTTCAAAGCCCATCCTCATAATTTCAGTATAAACCATTTTGAGGATGTATATTAGTGTATCTCAATGTGGTCTAGGTGAACGACCGGTGGTCCACATTGCATTTCTAGTGGTCCACAGAGAATTCGTAGCCATAAACAAATTGTAGCCATTTTACAAAAATGTATCTAAATTATTCATACTTTGAAGAATTAAAATTATCGTATTTTGTTTAATTACACATTTGCCCATTACATTTGAAAATTTCTGAAATTACATCTTCTTATTCAGTGCTATATTTATTTTATATATATATATATATATATATATATATATATATATATATATATATATATATATATCTTATGCTATATTTTATTATATATCTTTATTAGACGTAGAAAATTATGACGCAGAAGATGAAAATTTTGAGTTGACTGAAATGTCGCTGGACTTGAAAACTGACAAGATTTGACGAAGAATGTATCTTTGCCTACATATCGATAAAGGACTTACACCCAAACATTTTTTAAGCAAGTAGAAGCAAGCATCATTTGTTACTACATGGATAGTGGAATCTGGATTTTCGGCCGTTGTGGATGTTTTCAGTAGAAAAAGAAATATATTAGATCTCAACAGATTAAGACTGAATGTCATCATCACAATTGATTATGATATCTTATGCCAGAAACACCAAGATCAAAGTAGTCACTAGCTGAAAGGACTAAGACTGAATGACATCATCAAAATTGATTATGATATCTTATGCCAGAAACACCAAGATCAAAGTAGTCACTAGCTGAAAGGACTAAGACTGAATGACATCATCAAAATTGATTATGATATCTTATGTCAGAAACACCAAGATCAAAGTAGACACTAG